CATGACAGTACCATCAATGAATGAGTCTCCAACCCAGTTATCAAAAGTACTGGTGATTCCTCGTATGTCATGTTAGTAGGTACTGCAGTCAGTATCGCAGTCAATGGGGAGGCTGGTACTGAAGAAGCATTGCTCCTATGTGGCTTAGGAGGGGGGACACCCTAACTCCATATGACTTGTGCCTCAAGACTCACCTGACTTGGACAGGGTCAAAAGGAAGCATCTCTCCTCTTAGAAGGTCAAGGAGGGCATCTGCTTGTGTGTGTGTGTAAGAATGCCCCTTACTCTCATGATAGGGCCCAGATGAAGGGACCTTCCTTCTGCTCCTATCTGCTCAGGACTCCAACATAATACTAGGGGGCACGTTCCTCGATGACTCTGGCCAATGTATGGGGGAACCTCCTGGCCTAGGTCTCACTGGGGCCTCTTTGCATGCTCAATAAGGTGCTTCCAAAGCTGGAGTTCTTGCACCTGCTGTGTTCAACTGGGAAAAGAGCAGCAGATACTGCACTTAGATACTTCAGATATGAACTTCTCTGAGGCAGTAGAGCCAGCACTGGCAGTTGTTGCTCCCCAAAAAGGAATGGAGCCAGGCGAAAGTTTTTGAAGCCCAGCATCCTGGGCATAATCTAAGTTCCACCCTGGGATACCGTGAAGGTTCCTTGGGGTGGGGATTCTAACACTAACTGGGGAACTATTAAAAAAATAAAACCTAAGAAAATATAAGTTTGGACATTTACAGGGAACGAGAAAGGATCAGCTCCGAACTGTAGGATTCTGACTCAGGCTATGCAGCAGTAGGAAGGAACTGGAGAGGCAGTTCGTCCTCCCCACCTCTTATACCATCGATGTGGAACTTGAGAGCAGGGGTGCAGGTGCAAACCCTCGGATACTGCTTGCAAAAATTCCCTCATCTTTGTTGTATCCATAGTGAAATACACAGAGACCAGCACTCAAGAGATGAAAGTTTACTTACCAGTCTACTTGAACTGTAGTTACTGTCTTTATAGAGACTCACTTACAGGACACTAATCTGTATTAATCTTTAAAGAGAATATCTCAGAAGGCTCTGACTAGTGGAGCTGTAAGTATGTTCCCTAATCAATCCAAATATTTGTTCAACGTTACAAAGAACCATGAGCACCAACTCTCGTTCTTCCATTCCATTTAATCAGAATTTAAAAACAGATTAAAAAGGGTACCAGAAGGTGGTTGACAATATCAGTCTATATATTTTACTTACAGAATCCAGATTAAGGAATTTACAAGTTACTGTTTTCCATTGAGTACTGCCTGTATACTGCAGATCACTTCTGGGAGATTCAGTAACAACAACTCTCAAAGAAGGAAAATTGTGTAGTATTTTAAATAAATATTGGAAGACTTTTCTTTAATTGGGCATCATACTAACAATCAAAATGATGTCTTGCAAAACGATCAGAAAGATTTTTCAGAAATGTTGCGACAACTGCTTTGGATCTGTTAGAATACACTTTAGGTATCGCAACATAACAGATTTGAATGCAAAGCTTAACCCTTTAGACAATCTTTTAGCAAAGATAGTCTCCCCCTGAATTTATTACCATAAGCAATAGGGCCGGCTCTAGGATTTTTGCCGCCCAAGGCAAAAACAATTTTGGCCGCCCCCCCCCTGTTTTTTAATTACCCCCACCCCCGGCCCCGCCCCAACTCCGCCCCTTCCCCAAATCCCCAGCCCTGCCTCCTCCCCCCAGGCTCTCAAGCCTGGGAGGGAGGGAGAGCAGCAGCGCGCGAAACAACTGTTTGAGAGCCTGGGAGGAAGGGGGAGATTCCGAGTGGCCGCGGCGCGGGCGCCGCTTCTTCCCCTCCCTCCCAGGCTCTCAAGTCTGGGAGGGAGGGGGAGCAGCGACGCGCGAGCAGCAGTGGAGGTGAGCCAGGGCGGCCGGGGCACATTTTTAGGGGCGGCATTCTGGTGCCGGCCATGCCGCCCCTAAAAATTTGCCGCCCCAAGCACCAGCTTGTTTTGCTGGTGCCTAGAGCCGGCCCTGATAAGCAATGTAGGAAATTTGCATATAAGTAACAGTCCTACATATGCTGCAGCTAAATGCAATTTTAACATCTTGCACTATGCAACATAGCCTCATCTGGTAATGTGCAGGATCTTAGAAAAATACTGTAAGATAGACATATTCATACAGAAGTCAGAAGCCACCAAGTTAGCAATTTGGAATGTACCTTACTTTTATGGAATACTATTTAGGGCACCTCAGCAATCACGACTGGCATCTTACAGACTCTTTTGGTTGATGTTATAACCATTAAATACCTCAAGGAGCAGCAACTACAACCAGGTAAATGGTAAAGATCCTTGATGCTGTAGAGCATGTGAAGGAATCTGTTTTGGTAGTGGTCTACACACAGAGAGAGACTTAAGTACTTTCAGTGGACCAGCTGGAAAGACATACAGAAATAGACTTCTTTTAGACAGAGCCCCAAATCAATCACACTGGTTTAAAAAGGGATTAAAATCATACAGAATTTAAACCTCTTTGTGTACCTGTTCAATTTCTTAGCTCCAGTATAGGACAGTTCCCTGGTCTCTCTTTCCCCCATATAAACTAGGGAATGAGAGAAGAACTCTTTCCAAATATTTCTGGGGAACTTCTACTGTTCTCAGTCGTGGGAGGGAAGTTACTTCATGTTGCATTTTCTCACAAGAGGAATGCCTGAAAAGGTATGGGAATGGCAAAGCAGCTTGCAATAGACTCAAATAGAACTAACACTGAATAATCTGTACATTTCCAGCTATCAGAAGACTATACAAACTCAGACACCCTGACTTTTAGTTCACATATGAAGTATCAAAGAAGGCATGGATGAGCCCCTTTCTGACCTTCCTTACTAATGGCTTATGTCTATTTTCAACTACCCAGGAAGGCACTCTGACAAAGGGAGGAGCTTATCCCAAAGCAGATAGTTTTACCTCACCAGCAGCACCCATAAATTTGCAACTTTATGGTGCAAAGCTGCTGCTGAGCACATCTTATGACACAGTTAAATTCATCATCTTTGTCTCCTTGTCAAAGAGTGTAGAAAGTGGCTCTCTTCATATCCTTGACCCCTCAGTGACTGCTGAGAATGCCATGGTGTTGCATGGGTATATAAATGCTCAAAATCCAGCTAAGGAGCCGGATACAATCTATCCACCAACTTGTATATAGGTGGCATAGATAACAAGGGTGGCATGGCACCTCTTAGAGCCGCTGTTTCAGGCTCTCTGCAGAACCACATGGGCATTGATTGTCACTGGTTTACATCCTGTTCAGGTTTTCCCTGCAACCATAAGGGCTAATAACAATTCTTTAAAAAAAATGGAAGTTGAGATCCTGAAACAAAATTTAGTAGGAAGAAGTGAATTCTGTGGCAGACTCTCAGAATATACATTATACACTTCCATTGTTTTGAACTGAATCTGAGAGAACACCAAGATTAGTGGTGCTGCTTCATCTTACACTCCTTATATGCCCGGATATCACAGACCCAAATCCTAGAGTAGTTTCTTTAATATTTGCATAAGTTTCAATGTTGATGTCATCAGTGCAGTCATTGGTGCCAATGAACTTGGCTGGATCTGGCCCAAAAAGAACGTTGACAGTAGAGGATGACAGTTCCATGCAAAATGCCTTCAGTAGACCGGTTCCTGGCAGAATTGAAGAGCAAAGGTTGAACAGATTTTGGTCTGTGAATATCCCTAAAAGAGACACTTAAGGTGGTTCCTTTGGCTCATATCAGACATTGTACCATCATAGGAAGCATGAACTGTATCACTTGAACCTCAAAACTCTTTGGTTGGTTCCAGCATCAAGAAAATCATGATGGGGCAGAATGGAGCCAAAGACTGAAACAGCACTTGTTGAAGTCACAAAACTAGTATGAAGCCTATCTAAATCCAACAATATATTATGAATGACAAAGAACAGTCATTGGGCCAGGGAAAGAGAGAACACCATTCTACAGCCTGCTGTCTAGGGCACTCACCTAGGATGTTCAAATGCCTGCTCCAATGACTAATTATTTATAAAGTGTAACAGCTTCAACAGAAGAGTTTGAGAGATGTCTGTCCCAGAATACCCCCTTGCCCAGCAGTTAGGGCACTCTCCTGTAATATGGAAGACCCAAATTCAAATCCCTTCTCCACATCAAGCAGACTGGGGGATTGAAGCTGTGTCATCCACATCCCAGGTAAGTGCTCTAGCCATTCAGCCACCCAAAAAACAAACAAAAACTTGTTTCAGGCCAAAGGAAATGTTTTGTTTAACCCAAAACAGATCTTTTCAATTCATCAAAAGTTGTCACAATATTTTCATTTGGTTTGACCTGAACCAAAGTTGGTTTTTCTTTTGTACTGCCAGTGAACTGAAATAAGAGTTATTAGCCCAGCTCAACACATCAATATCATGGTGACAGGCAGAGTAAGAATTTGAATGTAACAGAAAAGTTATCCAGGGATTCAATGTTCACTCCTGAAGCAGACGAAGGAAGCAGGATGGAGTCAGGGCCATGGCTGCTTATAGAACCTTGCACTAAGCATTTAGATCCATGAGGAAGCATGTACACAGCCCCAAGGGTTACAGCGTTGCAAATGATTCATTCTCCATGCGCACACATCTCAAAAAGGAAGATCCATGCTGACACTTCTGAAAGGTGAATTAAGAAGTAAAATTATGGGATAAATCCTGTACACTTCCATGTATAGGACGGTCCTGAAGTCAGCAGAACTGGTGGTGTTCCACCTCGGTGGGATAGGCATGTATCACCTGAATCATAAACTGTACTCCGTGAACTCTGACTCATACCGTAAAATACTTTTCAGGTTTTCTGCTGAAACCCTAAAATGCCTAACCAGATTCACCATATAATGAGCTTGCAACAGAGGGTTCCACAAGCTTTGTAGGTTTATAAAAAATATAATTCAGACTATATATAAAATATATAAAAGTATATAAACATAGTATACTCACTTCATTGTTTGCTATTTCACTTGGTGTCGGCCAATTTGTGATATCATTGAAGTCACTAGCCTGTAAAGTTACAAAATATATGTTTACCAGAACAGCATTTCAGAATGAGTGGATGAGGTCTGGCACACTTAACAGTGATGGTCAGAGATGGACTATGTTTCATAGCAGTAATCAGAATAAATCACTTCTCATTTGATATGTGAACTGTAACGGAAACCAGGTACACTATTACTTTAACCACCAACAAAAAACAGTATGCAATCCAGTCAGCTACTCAGAGTGGTTGCCTCCAATGCAAAGTTCTACACAACAGTAAATTAAGATTTAAAATAAAACGATGTTAAAAAGGGGATCCTAATGACAAACTTCTTTAGCTTGCTGTTACTGTAATTGTCAGCCTAACTCTTTGATGGACAGAGTTCTATTTAATGGATATGGCCATAAAAAGCACTCCCAGCAACTAATTAAAAACCCCATATGTTACAGTTACAATATGCTACTGGACAGGTGTATTTCATTTGGATAAAAATCTTTTAGATGAAAGCAACTAGACTGCTAATTGTAATATATGAACTCTTTTTCCCCTCTTTAAATCTCTGATAATCTCCCCTCTGCCCACAGTTCTCTTCACAGCTACGTTAACAGTCCTAAGAAAAAGTGTTAAACAAAGGTTACTCACCTCATAACTAGTTGTCTTTGAACTGTGTTGCATATGTCCACTTCACTGTAGGTGTAATACACCCATGCTGCAACTGTAGGGCTGCAATGCATGCTCCCTGGTTTCCCTCATGTTCTGAACAGAGAGTATGAAGGATAGAGCCTTCCTAACAGAAGGTTAGATGAGGACTCCAACGCACTGGGGAAGGAGGGTGGATCTTGGAATGGACATATGCAACACATCTCAAAAAAGCAACAGCTACAAAAAGATGAGTAACCATTTTGTCTTTTGAATGATTGTATAAGTCCATTCCACCGCAGATGCCCCCAAGCGATTTTCACTGGAGGTGGGGCTAGGAGTCTCATTTGAAGACAGAATATAGGACTGTTTTTCCCACATTCTCATCTTCCCTCGATGGCACAGTAATAACACAATCTAGCAAATATGTTAACAGAGGACCACATTGCTGCTGTACAAATGTTGATGATGGGGGCGTTTCCCACAAACATAGTAGAGGAAAAATGCAACCTACATGCAGTGTGCTGACTTTTCAGGAGGTGTTCTACCTTTAGCAGAATAGCACATAGCAATGCAGCTGGTAATCCATCTCAAGAGCCATTGTGTCGTAACAGGATGACCTTTTAACTGTTCTACAGAGGATCCAAAGAGCTGGGAAGAAACCAAAGGGCTTTGTTCTACCCAGACAAAAGGGTAGGGCTTGGCACACACCTGAAGTGTGCAGCTTTTAGTTTTGTGAGCATGTGGATTCAGAAAAAGGACCGGTAAGTGTATTGACTAATGAAGTGGAAATCAGATACTACTTTGGAAAGAAACTTCGGGTTTCACAGATTCCAAGGCCAGCATGTTGATAAATGCAAAGTAATGCACTTTGGAAAACATAATCCCAACTCTACATATAAAATGATAGGGTCTAAATTACCTGTTACCACTCAAGAAAGATCTTGGAGTCATTGTGGATAGTTCTTTGAAAACATCCACTCAATATGCAGCAGTCAAAAAAGCTAACAGAATGTTGGGCATCCTTAAGAAAGGGATAGATAAGAAGACAGAAAATATATTGCCTCTATATAAATCCATGGTATACCCACATCTTGAGTATTGCATGCAGATGTGGTCGCCCCATCCCAAAGAAGATATATTGGAACTCGAAAAGGTTCAGAAAAGGGCAACAAAAATTATTAGGGGTATGGAACGGCTTTCATATGTGGAGAGATTAATAAAACTGGGACTTAGCTTGGAAAAGAGACAACTAAGGAGCGATATGATAGAGATCTATAAAATCATGACTGGTGTAGAGAAAATAAATAAGGACTTGCTATTTACTACTTCTTCTAACAGAAGAACTTGGGGTCACCAAATGAAATTAATAGGCAGCAGGTTTAAAACAAACAAAAGAAAGTATTTTTTCACACAACGCACAGTCAACTTGTGGAACTCTTTGCCAGAGGATGTTGTGAAGGCCAAGACTATAACGGGGTTCAAAAAAGAACTAGATAAATTCATGGAGGATACGTCCATCAATGGCTATTAGCCAGGATGGGCAGGGATGGTGTCCCTAGCTTCTGTTTGCCAGAAGCTGGGAATGAGCGACAGGGAATGGATCACTTGATGATTACCTGTTCTGTTCATTCCCTTCAGGACCCCTGGCATTGGCCACAGTTGGAAGACCGGATACTGGGCTAGATGGACCTTTGGTCTGACCCAGTATGGCCGTTCTTATGCTCTTAGAAGAGAATCTTGTGATCATCTAGTCTGACTTCCTGTATAACACAGGCCAAACCCTATACTGCACCTTGTCCCTGTAGACTATATTCATGAAGAATCTGTTACCAGGGCATGTAGCTCCCCCACTCTCCGCAAAAAGGCCATCTTCACCAAGAGGTGTAACATTGAGCAAGAGGCTAAGGGCTTGAATGGAGGATCTGTAAGACCTGACAGAACTAGATTCATATCCGAAGGTGAATCTGAATCCTGAATAGGTGGAAAACAGTTTATCTAGTCCATTTAGGAACATGGTTGTCCTAAGATTAGCGAAAACAGTCCTTTCAGCAATACAGGTGAAATGCTGAATTTGCAATCAAATGCACCTTAATAGCACTGAATGTTATACCTGATTCTTTAAGATGTAAAAGACAGTCCAAAATCTTTTGAATTGTAGATTGTGTAGGAGACATTATGGCTAGCTGCTCAGGTAGAGAAGCGCTTCCATTTACAAAGGTAAGGAGCTTTCATGGATGGCTTTCTGCTGCTGAGCAGGATATTCTGGACTGTCACTGAACAGTGCGGTTTCTCTGGTTTTAAGCACCAAGGAACCAAGATGAGAGGTTCACCACATGCAGATTCAGGTGCAACATGTGCACGTAATGCTGGGAAATCAAGTCTTTGCCTAGTGGCGGAAGTAAGAGTTCTCTGATGGACAATCTGTGCAGATCCGAGTACTAGATTTGCCTCAGCCAGGCTGGAGTGTGAAGATCATTCTGCCTCGTTCTTGCTTTAGTTTCACTATGTGTTTGGAATGAGGGGTGCTGGGGTGGTATGCACACAGGTTTTTGTCCCATGAAAGCATCTGAAATGGACTGTGGCCAGCTCAGGAACAGAACTGAGGACATTTCCTGTTCTGCTCAGTTGCGAACAAATTCATCATAGGAATCCCCACACACACTCAAATCACTGACCTTAGAACTGTCGTGTTGAGAGCTCATTCATGATCTAGGCTGAACAGTCTGCTCAGGCGGTCTGCCAGGTAATTCTGAACTCCCAGCAGGTATGATGCATTGAGAGTTAAGGAGTTCCTGATACACCATGAGTGTCTCCTAATACAGCTTGTTTGAGCTGAAGGTTTAGAATGGGTCTGAGATCCCCTTTGGCTTTAGGAAATAATCATAGTAACCCCCCCGCCTCCATGTTGAGGAGGCACCTCTTCTTTAGCTCCTGAACACAAGAGTCTCCCCTTCTTGCCTTAGCATGGACTTGAGAGAGGAGTCCCTGAAAAGGGACTGGGAGGTGGGAGGAGGATATAAAGAAACTACTGGGTATATCCTGAATCCACCATGTTTAGCACCCATTTCTCTGTGGTGATAGTCTGCCACACACTTAGGAAACTGGATAACCTGTTCCCACAGGCAGAGAAAGGGCTAGTAAGATCTGCACTGATAGGTATGCTGTCCTCAATGGAGGAGTCAAACAGGATGCTTTGAGGCCTTTGGCTGCCTTGACGAAGTGACCAAGGCAGATAGCGGAAGCCTCATTCTTTGCAGCCTGTGTTTGTGCCTGGTTTAGTCAAACTGCCTGGAGAGGTAGAACAGTTGCCTCAGCTGAAACGGAGGATAATATTTTGTCCTCCTGGGAGCAAAAGGAAAAGTCTTTAATTGTCTGCTGTATTTCTCAAGGAATCCGTGACGACGACAGCTATGAGAAATGGTGCATCGTTATTGCCATCACCAGGATCCTTGAAGCTGGGACAGCAGTGTCCAAGGAAGCCTGCAGAGCTGACATATGGACCAGATGACTTCTCACCAAGAGGGACTGCAACTCATCCCTAGAGTCCTTAGGTAACTTGTTTAGGAATTTAGACATTGGTCCAAGAGAGCGAGGTCGTTGAGAATAGGACTACTCAAATGGGGAGGGGCAATGCGAAACTATAACCCCACCACTGAATACACCTCTCTCCTAAAAAGGTCTAGCTTTTTTGCATCCTTTTCCTTTTGGGTAGCCTTAGCTCAACCTTTGCAGTACCATTCATTCGCTCCAGCTACCACCGGTGAGCCCCGTGTAGGGTGCAAAATAGAACTGGTCAAACCCATGAGACAGTATCTGGTATTTATTCTCTGTATTTTGCCACAGATGAAAGGATTTGTGAGTGACTTAGTAGGCTGCATTATCCCCTCATTTTTAGGAAGGGCTACCTTCACTGCCATAGCTGGGTGTAATATATCTATAAATTTAGGAGAATTTTCCTCCACCAGTTCTATTTGAACACCAAGAGCTATAGCCGTCCTTTTCAGTTCTTGGTAAACTCTGAAGTCATCGGTAGCAGAGAAGAAGCTTCTGGTACCAGAGCCTCATTAGATCCCTCTTGAGGCAAGTCCTGCACAGCCAAATTAGAAGGTAAATCCAAGGGAGGGTGAGGAATTGCCCGTAGTATAGTGTCTGTAGGCTATTCTGTATCAGCAATCGCTGGTCTATTGATACTGGGCAGGGAAGCCTCTCCTTTCTCAGAGACCGGCTTCTGTGAGGAAGTGGGGATGACAATCTTGATGCCAGAGAAAGGCCAATGAGGAGACAGATATGGCATGAGAGTCCAATTGCGTCAAGACCAGGCCACCCAATCCTTCAATCTGCTCTTGCTGAGTGTCTTCTATGAGAGTAGGAATGAGTTCTGGAGGATGAATTGGACTGTCTGTAATGGGAGGCATAGGAACCCATTCTGGATTCCAATGAGAAGTAGGAATACTTTGAAGGTCAGATTGGTGCAATTCTGGAAAGAGACAAGTGACCAGGCCTAAGATCTATGGTGAGAATGCAGTACTGCAGCAGCAGCAGAGGCTTCCTGGCTTTCAGAACTGAGCACAGAGGTGGAGCAGGTACCGTAGGCCTAGATGTCATCACAGAAGAAGCTAAGGAAGATAGTACTGGTCCTCAGAGAAAGGGTGCCATAACAGACACCAATGCTGGTAAAAGTCTGCGCTGCATGCAATAGTACCAGTAAATGGCCTTCATCATGAATAAGTGGTGATACAAACACAGAGGCACAACAGGTCCTTTGTAACTATGTAGCTTCAGTTTTGTTGACATTAAGATAGACAGTTGATCCACAGTAAGCAGAAGTGCCAGATCCATTGTAGTCACCAATAAAGAAGCCTGCCTTAATGGCCCCCGTATGGGTACGTGAGTCAACAGCTCAGTCCTATGACAGTCACTGTGAGACAGTACCAGGGACCTGCGAGACAAAATAGGTAACCTTTGGTACCGGAGTGGCTTACTTTAATATGGAGATATACCTATCTCATAGAACTGGAAGGGACCTTGAAAGGTCATCGAGTCCAGTCCCCTGCCTTCACAGCAGGACCAAGAACTGTCCCTGACAGATTTTTGCCCCAGATCCTTAAATGGCCCCCTCGAGGATTGAACTCACAACCCTGGGTTTAGCAGGCCAATGCTCAAACCACTGAGCTTCTGCTATAGAGGAGTCCTGCACCAAGGACTTTGAAGAAGTCAGATAACAAGAATGCTCCAAGTACGTAGGCTTGCTGGAGGATGACTCTGGTGAAGGAGATCTCCTTTGGTCAATGTCAATTAGCAAGGTTGGAGGAGCACTTGTGAAGGAACGGTCGATTCGCTCCCCTGCACCAAATGAGCCGTGTGAAGAATGGCCGCCGTGAAAATATATCTAAGGCACTTCCTTGTTCTTGATTTGTAGCTGCAGCAGATCAGACACCTGTCTCTAATGTGGAACAGTGAGAGTGGGGGTTACTAATGAGCCATTGGCTTTTGACACTGGGAGCAAGGCATAAAGCCAGGGGCCTTGGCATAGCCTCCCCCAGTACCAACCAAAGCTTGGAGAAGCCTACTGACCTAGAGCAAATAAATTAAAATAAAGACACAAATGTCCAAATGGACAAAAAAAATGAGTACTACTAATTAAGAATTATAACTATATACAATCTTTGTGTGTTCATAGAGGAATGAGGGACTGTTCCAAAGCACAGTAATATGCTCCAGCCACCAGACAGTTAAAAGGAACTGAAGGAAGGGAGGGGCATGAGAGAAACCAGGGTGCATGCGTGGCCATCCCTTCATGTACTGCTAGGGAAAACACTCTGCACAGTTGCATGAGCCATGCAACATCTACAATGGACACATGCAATCATTCAAAGAAGAACTCATAAAATTTAAGAATCTTAGGCTTTCAATTAAAAAAAGCATTTGATGCTAAAACAGCCCTAACAAAAGGCTTTTTTGAAAAACAAGAAATGTTTAGAATGTTGACAAATTTTCACTGGAAGCAATCTGTTATTGCTCCTAAGGTCAACATCACCAGACATTATTTTGAAGCTTCAGAATCATCTAATTATAAAAATGAAATACAATTGACCCTAAATAAAATTCAAAGACATTTTTAGTCAAAAATATTTTAAAACCATTGGAAATTTGTCTCCAACATTAGATTACATACATAACTGCTGCCTCATGTTTAAAAGTTCAAATTACTTTGTACACTTGGAGTCAGATAAGCCATCTACTCTTAGAAATCAGACATCAGAAATCTGAAACGTTATATACACAATGTAATATACAAATTCATTTTATTCTTACTATAAAATTGGAAAACAACACAAGAAACCTAAGACAACACTAATCATCAGGCTCCAAAGATTACTCCTGAGGGAATTCCATGCCAAAAATCTTAAAAATTCTGCCCCCCTAAAATAAAAATTCTGCATACAATATTTTAAAATTCTTCAAGTTTTATTTGTCAATAAATAAATGTAGAGGCTCCAGCGTGGCAGTGGGGAGTGAAGGCCACTGGTTGCATGGAGGTGGAAGATCACCCTAAAGCACCACCTCTTCCCTGAGACAGGGACTTGGCGGTGAGGCTGCACCCAACCCTGACACAGGGCAAGAGCCAACCCTGCTTCTCTGCACCAGGCACACAAGTGTGGGCAAATGGATTCTGCTGGGCCGAGCCTAAGTGTGGAGGGGCTTAGTGTGGGGGGATCCAGGCATAGAGTAAGAGGGTTCTGTGTGGGGCAATCTGGGTGCAGGCATCTCAGTGGGGGATGTGGATGCACAGATGCTTGCTGGGGGGTTTCAGGGGCAATGGGACGCTGCAGTGGGGTCCAGGTGAAGGTGGCTGGAGCTCAGCGGAGGGGATTGGGGGGGGGATCTGGGGCTCAGCAGGAGGGTCTGGATGTGGGGGACTTAGTGGAGAGGTCCAGGTGCTGGGAGAGTGGGGGTCTAGGTGCAAGGGGCTCAGAGTGGGGGTTCAAAGGGCCTGCTTAACAGGGAGCCCCAGCTGCAACTGCTGTTGAGGGGATGCTACATGCCAGTCTCCCGCTCCCCCCTCCTGATTTCCATATCCCCTCCTCATCTCTCCCAATTGTCCCCTGCCACATCCCTCTCTCTTCACTCCCTCATCCCACCTCTTCCCTTCTCCACTGCCTCTCCCCCCCTTGCCCTGCCACACCGTGGGGACTCACTGTTGTACACACAGAAAGAGAGCACAACTGACACTAGGACCCAGGAAGCGGCATCCTGCTGCAGAGTGGAGCAGCACACCCTCCTACAGCAGGGCAGCTCTGCACGTGCAGAAATTGGGAAGGCAATAGCAAGTGATACCATGTGCCCCTCCACGCCTTGCCTCTGTTTTGGGGAGGCATTGCCCACCCCCAACTACGTTCATGGGTGTCCCCAGCCTCCCCTCCCTGCCCCTGCACTGCTTCCCTTTGCTTTCCACCCATGCACTGGTGCACAAAATTCCCCCAGGAGTAAAAAAGATCACCACAGACCAGTCTAGCTTTGCTTTTGTTGTTACCACCTCATCAGAATCTTGTGTGTTCATGAGTACTACTGTTTCTGCATACTATCCTCTATATTTGTTAACCAGATAATCCTACTATACCCTTTACAAAAATCTTTCTTTGCTGTTTCCGATGCTACAGCCTTCAGCTCTTTCTAAATTTTTGATCATGTCCCCTTTTTTGAAACCCCCCCCCCAACTATCACCTGAATTAACCCATCAGCCAGGGAGATCATAACACATCTTTAGGGTGCAACCTTAAACATTTCCCAGCAGACTAAAATTTACTTGAACAATACCAGCTACTTATACAGATAAAATATTTAGGAAAAAATATTTCTCTAGTGACAATTTACATTTCTTATCATATCAACAGTGCAGTTAAAATGGTAGTTCAAATCAATAGATTGTATTATATGGTCTCAATCTAATCAGACCTGATATTCACAGGTTAAACTGCTTTTCCGGCAAATACAAACCTTGCTGGGTTTCCTGGTCTTCGGTTTCCCTGCTTTTATAACTTTAGTAGAATTTGGCCGTTCTAAATGGAAGAAGGAAAAACATTTCCAGGTAAGAAATTACATTTTGATTATGCTTTTATATTAGAAAAACCAAGTGTGGAAGAGTATATTCAAAAATTTTGCTCCCTAATCCTTAATACAATGCTAAAGCTCTTTTCTGTGGCCCAATACAGCCAAGCAGGTAAGTAGTTCTACTCTAGCTAGTGTATTTTTAAATAATTGAGACTATTCATGTGCTTAAAAAGTTAAGCACATGTTTAAGTGCTGTGCTAGACTGGGAGCTATATAATTTATTTTCATAAATATTTACAGGTTTCTACAGATTTGAGGGATTTCAATATTAGGTAAATTATACTATGAAAATAAAATCTTTGACAATTGTCTGCATCATAAAATATTGGGATCTTAGGCCCAGATTTTTAAAGCTATTTAGGCATTGCAGCACTCAGCATTGCAAAGCCTAATTGATTTATGAGCCTAAATCTCATTTTCAAAAGGGATTTCGGAGTCTATGGGATTTCCCCCTTCTGAAAAAAAATGAGACTTAGGCTCTTACATCACTTAAGTGCTACCTTTAAAAGTCTGGACCTAAATCTAAAAAAGGCTGATTAAAAAATGAGCAAAATCTGCAAAACAACATATCTTATCAAAAGCTATAATATTTTAAAGATCGAATTCTTTCATACCTACAATTGTGTAAATGCACATGATAAAGAACTTATTACAAATTCATAAATCCCTAGTAATCTTTTTTGCCCCAATAACTCATATGCTAGTTTTACCAGAGAACATTGCCTGGAATATAGAAAACAAGAAAAAAAAAAAAAAAAGATACACACACAAACTGCATATTAAACAGAAGTTTGCCCATTTACACAGAAATACCTATTTCAAGCATTGATGACTGCAAAAAACATTCTGTCCAGAAAACAACTGTTGCTCATAACCAAGCCACAATCAGTCAGCAAAGTAAATAAAAAAAGCTGAGAAAAGCAAGAGTGAAACCCATTCAACAATGCTACTTTATATCCAGGCTTGGAAGGATTAGATTTTTTGTCAGCAAATGTCGATTTCTCCATACACACATAAATGTGTCAAATTTCAGATAGGAAGAGAAAGAAAAATGCTGCTTGAGATCTTATTAGTTTGATTTAAGGCTGTTTACTTTGACCAGATAATTGTCAACAGCATATGTCAAATATACAATCGCCTGCATAACACGAGTCATAAAGTTTCATTCAGTAATGCCTGTAATGAAGGCAATTATTTCCCTTACTATCCAGGAGAACATCACGAGGTCCAATAATGTGTGGCTGACCCACTCTGGGTATGTCTACACTATGAAATAGGTCGATTTTATAAAAGTCCATTTTTAGAAATCGATTTTATACAGATGATTGTGTATGTCCACACTAAGCGCATTAAGTCGGAATGCATCCTCACTACCGTGGCTAGCATCGACTTTCGGAGCAGTGCACTGTGGTAGCTATCCCTGCAGTCTCTGCCGCCTATTGGAATTCTGGGTTCAGCTCCCAATGCCTGATAGGGCAACAAAAAAAAAAAAAAAAAAAAAGATAACGGACCAGGTAGCCTGGGTGTGGTGGGGGAGGAGGGAAGGACAAGGCCACATTGCTTATTGTAGCCACACTAAAAATCAAACTGTTTGAATGACAGCCTTCTGTTGCTTGGGCCATCCTCTGGAGTGGAGTGGCTGGGTGCCCGGAGCCTCCCGCCCCCCATGTTGTTGGGCGTCTAGGTGAGGAGGCTATGGAACGTGGGGAGGAGGGTAGGCAGTTATACAGTGGATGCAGCGGGGGTCTGTGCTCTTGCTGGCTTTCCTGCAACTCCAACAGATGCTTCATCATGTCCATTTGCTCCCCCATTAGCCTCAGCATCGCGTCCTGCCTCCGCTCTTCGCGCTCACTTAATTCTTTCCTGGCCTCTGCCACTGAATGCCTCCATGCATTAAGCTGTGCCCTATCAGTGCAGGAGGACTGCATGAGCTCAGAAAACATGCCCTTGCGAGTGCATTTTTTTCGCCTTCTAATCTGCGATAACCTCAGGGATGGAGATGATAGGGGGAGCGTAGAAACATTCTACGCTCTGTGATTCTGGGGGTGACTGCATGGTCACCTGTGCTGCTGAGTTCGCCACGCTGACCAAACAGGAAATGAAATTCAAAAGTTCCCGGGGCTTTTCCTGTGTACCTGGCTAGTGCATCAGAGTTCAAAGTGCTGTCCAGAGCGGTCACAATGGAGCACTCTGGGATAGCTCCCAGAGGCCAATACTATCGATTTGCGTCCGCACTACCCCAAATTTGACCCAGCAAAGTTGATTTTAGCGCTACTCCCCACACCGGGGAGGAGTACACAAGTCGATTTTAAGAGCCCTTTAGGTCGACAGAATGGGGTTTGGTTGTGTGGACACAATTTTTAAATCGACCTAACGCGGCTAAATTTGACCTAACCCCGTAGTGTAGACCACACCTAAGACCAGCTTTCTATTTAAAGCTTGACTCTAAGGGTATGTCTACACTGCAGTTAGACACCCATGGCTGACTCATACCAGCTGACTCAGACTCAGGCTGTGGGGCTGTTTCATTGCAATGTAGACTTCCAGGCTCAGGCTGTAACCTGGGCTGTAACAAAGTGGGAGAGTCCCAGAGCTCAGGCTGCAGAAGTCTGCACTACAGTGAAACAGTACTGCAGCACTAGCCAGCTGGCATGGGCCAGCCATGGATTTTCAATTGCATTGTAGATATACTTTAAGTGCTCTAAGATCTGCAGCCTTACTCAGATTGCCTTGAAATTTGGTGTGCTTCTTGGAGGTTAGTGACTCCAAATTTGGGGTAATTTGACAAAGTGGTTCCTAAACAGCCCCCAAACAGCTTTTTAAAAAAGATTAGCTAATACACTCTACCAATGTTTTTTGCCCAGACCTGGGGATCGAACTAGGGCTCTGATCCTGGCCCAGGAATCTCAGGTGCTCAAGAGTTACCCCCACCTAGAGGTTGGCACCCACTGGCCCTTTGGGAGGGCACATTTCACAACAGTGTTCACCAAAGAGTTTAGCTCTCATGCCTAATGCTCATGAGTTAACAGTTTACACAAAGCATGTTCAGAGAAAGGAGCCAGGAGTGTCTGTATCACATCAACCGGATAGCTCAAGGAGTTGAAAAATAGCCTGACCAATCCAGCTAGTGTCAGTTTGAATCCCACCTAGAACAGAAATCTAGAAAAGGTCTGTAACCACACTGCTAAAACCCATCTGTCAGGTTATTATTTCTGGCGAAATAAAATCAAAATATTTTTGAAAACAATTATATATGTGAATAGTTGCTGGGAGAGAAGTGAAATTTGTGAGAATGGGGGAGAGGAATTTGGAGCTGCAGCAAGAGAAGGAGAGAGAAATGGGGATGTGTGGTATGGGAGAGGACTGGGGGCAAGTGGCAGGCAGACTGGGGAAGAAAAGGGGCAGGGCCAGTGCCACGGGGGGCAGAGCCAACCAGGAGTTGGTTGGGGTGGGAGGTGGGAAATGCCTCTTCTTGCAGGATCTGAGCCCCTCTCTTCCAGGTGTGTGACAGTATCTGTGGGCCACCTGCCCCCTAGGAGCTATGAGTCCCCTCTCCCTACCCTCCCATGGGAACTAGGATGTGGGGGGGCCTTGCCCTTCTGGGGTATTTGACTCTCTTCCTGCCAGCCATGTGTGCTGGGATCTGGGGGGATCTGCCAGTCTGGTGGTGTCTCTACCCCTCCCACCCCACAAGCTGAGATCTGGAGGACCTTGCCCCTTTGGCTGTTAGCCCTTCTCCCTGCCCCCCTGCATGTGCCAGGATCTGACACCCCCCCCACTTCCTGCCTCCCATGATCTAGGATCTGGGGGAGCCCCTCTTACTGGCCCTACATGGGATCTGAGGCTTGGTCCCTCAAGGAGGGTCAGAGCCCCTCTCTCTACTCTACATGAGATTGCATCTGGGGAAACCCTGGGGATTGGAGAACAAGCATCCTCAGAGTATGAGCCAAGAACACACTGTTGAGACTGGGGCGGAGTTGAGAATGGGCATGCTTGATGCACATCATAGGTTTCTCAAGAGCCACGGAGGGGAATGGGAACGCCCACTGAAATCAATGGAGCAGCTCATATGGCTCAGAGCTATTATTTCAGGCTGTATTCATTTCTATGGGGTGTTCTCATTCAGCTGAGACTACAGTGCGATTAACAGGGTACTTGTTAGGCTTTTGGTTTTGGTATTTACCAATTTTCTCAGAACAATTCCTGGGTTTTGAAAAAGCCAACATGTGGGTTTTACCAATTTTTACCTGAATTTTGGCTTTTTGGGGGGGGACCTGGGAATTTTTTGTAGCCGAAGCAGATGGGGCGATGCTGAAGGACCAGGGTACAGGGGTTTTGGGCTACTAGAACTAGACTCCCTGCCCATCTTGCTCCCCCACTTCACCAACTGGCAGTTTCATTCCTCTGCACAGGCAAGCTGGCAGGGACTCTGCAAGTGGGGAGCCAAAGGCTTCACCCTGTGAGTACTGCCCTCACCTCATGCTGCTGAGAGTCCCTTCCTTAGCCTGGCCCTTCAGATCTGTCCAGCAAGAGGAGGAGACAAGGCTCTGTCCCCTGGGGAATAAGACTGGCAGAGACCCAGGTTACAGCAGCCAAGACCATACCGCGCCGGAAAGGGCCTCATCCTAGCCCCAGCCCTTCAGCACAGCCCCTACACTTCCCTATGTGGTGGGAAGTGAGACAGGTAGGAAGCTGGTTCCCAGTCACAGAGCACACTGACCACTACATTTTGAGTATTCCCAGGCCTCATAAGTACCAAGCACCTCCCTCACCCTTCATTTTTGTTTTTTTAACCAGTTTTCACCACTTCTTAAAATTTATGAATGAACACTGATCAATTCCCAGGAGGAAAAAAATTATATATATATCATACACACACACACACACACACACACACACACTTTAAATAAAATACCAAAATGAAGGGCTTTAGTTATTTCATACCTCT